GAGCTTGTATCTAATCCTTATATCATGTATGAAATTATCAATGAAGTTTTTGTAAAAGTTAAAAAAAAACCCAAAACCCCAAACCCTGATGTCAAGGCTGAAAAGAGCAAGAAAAAGTAGAAGAGGAGGAAGAGGAAGGTGACAATGATAAGCTTGTCCTAGAGCAGTTTTTTTCCTTGTTTATAAAGCACTTAAGCCCTTGTACAGAAGTCATTTCTTTTAAAGAAAAGTTGAAATGTAAAGCTGTGTAAGATTTGCTTTTAAACTGTTCAGTGTCTTTTTCTGTAGAGTTAACACACTCCCGACTGTGTCTTTATTATTTTTATTTTATGTGCATGTTATGCCTGCATGTAAGTGTACCCGTGTCATGCAATGCCCGTGGAGCACAGAAGAAGCTGTCGGATCCCCTGGAACTGAAGTTACAGACAGTTGTTGGCTGCCATGTGGGTGCTGGAATTCGAACCTGGGTCTTCTGCAAGAACAACCAGTGTTCTTAACCACTGAGCCATCTCTCCAGCCCCTCAAAACCAATTTTTATTAACTAAAATAGACTCCATTTTTGGAAATGCATTTATACTGTATTTATCACTAGTTTTAATCATCAGGATAACCAAATACAGATTTTTCCAATTTTAAAATACAACATTTTTTTTAAAAAAAGAAAGCAAACGAAGGAAGGCCCAGCTAAAGAGCGACTGAATTGATGGACAGGGCCTTGAGTGCCATCAGGACCAGTTCCCAGACACCAGCCAGTTAGCATGGAAGAGCCAACACAGGGCTTAAGGAACAGTGGGTTGACCCACCCTAGGAAGGTCTAAGGTATGCCAAATGAGGGATCTGGATTAAGCACAGTGGGTGGGGTCAAGTCCTGAGGTGAGGGAATAATATACACACCCCCTCAGGAACACTGTGAGACTATATGGTTTGGATATGAAGTGTCCCCCAAAAGGCTCATTCATGTATTGAAGGCTGAGTTCCCAGCTTGTGGTGCCACTTTGAGGTGCTGGAAACTTAGGAGGTGAGACCTAGCTGAAGGAGGTATGTGATGGCTGATCTTCATTGTCAACCTGACAATGAATCACCTAGATTAGTAAAGCATGCCTCCTGTGTGTGTCTGTGAGGGCATTTCTACAGGTTATCTGAGGAAAGACCTACACTAAATGTGTGTGGCAGCATCTCCATGGCCTAGGGGCCCAGAAGTAATAAAAGGGGAGAAGTAACCACACACCAGCATTCCCCTTCTCTCTTCCTGTTCACCATGAAGCAGCTCCTCCACCACACACTCCCACAGCCATACTATTTTGCCCAAGAACACGAAGCCATTGAACCATGAGCCAAAATAAATCTTTCCTTCCCTTAAGTTGTTTACATCAGAGATTTTGGTCACAAAATAAAAAAGTAACCAATCCAAAGTAGGTCACTGGAGACAAGTGTGTGAAGGTATTTTGTCCCTGGCTGCTTCCTGTCTCTATCACTCTCTACTTTCTGGCCACATGCTCCTGCCACCATGATGTTCAGCCTCACTACAGGCCCAGAAACATGGAACCAAGTGACCATGGCCTGAAACTTCTGAAACAATGAGCCACAATGCATCCTTCCTACTTTGCACTGTTTCTATAGGATATTTGGTCACAGTAGCAAACAGTCTCTCACGGGCTCCTACATCTGGGGCCTCTTCCTTCCTGCTTTATCCCCACCATTGTCTCATCTCTTTCCTCTGAGTTCTCCTTACAGGAGGCGCCCAGCAGAATCCTTCATGAAGAGATCTGAGTGTCCTAATGGGTTCAGCCCCCTTCCAAGTTCCTAACCCTTCCACCAGGAGAAAAGGACTAAGGTCTTCTGGAAGTGGGCTGTGCTAAGAGGGCTCTTCACCTCCAGCCCATCTTGGCATTTCTTCTGCAGCAGCCCCATCCTCAATCCAGGTAAGTGACTATGGCCTGCTGAGCCCTGCATGTCTGCCCTCCCAGCAAGACCTGGAGGTTAGCTTGGTGGATGCTACTCCTGGCCGAACTCCCTGCCCCTTCCCCCCATATATTTCCATGTGGTCATTGCCCATCACCCATTTGCCAGCTTGGTCTCTTCCCTTGGCCAGCCCAACATTTGTCCCCAGATATTAAACAGTGTTGGCACACAGTAAGCACTAAATAAACACTTGCTGATGAACAGACAAAACAGCATAAAGTAAAATAGGGCCAAACTGCTTCCCTAAAGACTTAAAGGCCCCAGGATCGGAGCCCCTTCCCTCAGCTCATTGAGACAAGTCCTGCTGCTGCTTTTCCCTGTGAACTGTGCCCCCAGTAGAGATGAGAGAGAGCAGGAATAACTGGGCTGAGATGGTGGAAGCCTGCATAGGGAAGGTGGAGTTTCGCACTGAGATCCGGACAGCAATCAGATGAACACTGAAAAAGCATGGCACAGGAGAGACCTGGGAAAGAGAAACAAGTTGGGGGCGGGGGGGCACAGAGACAAGAGCCAGAAGTCAGTGTCGTCCCCACCCAGACTATCTCTGTCCATACACCTCTCCAGTCAGAGGCCCTGGGTCTCACTCCTTCCTACAGAAGTGGGACAAGAAGGGAACCCAAGTTGCCTCATGCTGTGAGAGACTACCTCAGTGACAGGCTGTTGTTGTCAATGGGTCTCAGAGCTGTAGCTTTTGTGTGGTCAATGAGTAAGTGACTTCTGGATTCTTTCATTAGTGTGGCGTGTATCTATTCAGGGCCTATAGATGTCTCCATTTTGTCCCTCCACCCTTCCTTTCTGTAGTCTTACCTAGTCTTCAAACCATGGATCCAGATTCATTAACTGTGTGTGTGTGTGTGTGCATGTAGGGGTGTGTGCTGCCCTGCCTATGAGTATGTGGAAGCCAGAGGTCAGCTTCAGATATTTTCCTCTATCACTCTCCACTTTTTGTTGTTTTTTGAGACAGGGTCTCCCTGTAGCCCCAATTCGCCTGGAACTCAGAGATCTGCCTGCCTCTGACTCCCAAGTGCTGGTATTAAAGGCATGTGCCACCACACCTGGTCACCTTTTTGAGATAAAGTCTCTTACTGAATCTAGAGCTCAGTTTTGGCAAGACTAGCTAACCAGCATGTTCCATGGATCTGCCTCTCCACCCCCACCCACCAAGTGCTGGGATTAAAGATGTGCTGCCACACTGGATTTTATGTGAGCACTTAACTCAGCTCCTCATGATTGTACAGTAGATACTCTACCCACTGAGCCACACACACATGCACACACAATTCTTGTTATTTTTGTTTTATGTGTATGAGTATATCACCTATGTATGTATGTAAGTGCACCTGTGTCATGCAATGCCCACAGAGGTCAGAAGAGAGCATCAGAACCCTGGAACTGGAATTACAGACAGTTGTTAGCCACCATGTGGGTGCTGGGAATTGAACGCGGGTCTTCTGCAAAAGCAGTCGGTGCTCTTAACCACTGAGCTATCTCTCCAGTCCCCAACCCACACTATTTTTTAAAGACAGGATCTGATGTAGCCCAGGCTGGCCTCACTATGTAGCCAAGAATGACCTTGAATTTTTATCCTCCTGCCTTCACTCCCTGAGTGCTATGATTAAGCAAGCACCCACCTCCATGCTGTTTTATGTAATGCTGAGAATTTAACCCAGGGCCATTCTACCATCTGAGCTACACTCCCACCCCTTATTAGTCTATTTTTACTAACATGAAAAAACTCAAACTGGCTCAAGGCGAGAAGGGGGCTGGTCAGCAGATCCACAGCTGAAGGCGGAAGTATAAATATGTATAAATATGTCCTGGCTCCTTCCCTCACTCTCCCTTCCCTTTCACAGTAGATATGCACACACATGCATGTGCACATGTGCACACACACACACACACAGAGTAGCAAAATAGCTGGCTTGCAGTTCCTGCCTTGTCCTTTCAGAACTATTTCTCCCAATAGTTCCAAATAAGAGTCACAAATTTTAATCCAACTAGATTAACAAGATACATGTGCTTACCCACAATCTCCATTGCTCTACAAATACGATAATCCAGTTGGCTGGGTAAGGTGTGGTAGTGCATAGCTATAACACCAGCTACTTGAGAGGCTGAAGCAGGAGGATCACAAGTTTGAAACTGGCCTAGCTACATGGAGTTCAAGGCCTCTGGGCACAAGATCCTGTCTCAAAATAAAATAACACCGAACTCATTATCCACTTAGCAGCAAACAGGCCTCCACTCAACTCTTGCTCCCCCATCCTGCTCCACCCTACCTAGTCACTGACCACCAGTGACTGATGCTACCTCACATCCCTCATCAATCCACCAGTAAGGTCTGCAGAGACAGGCTGGTCTCTGAGTTTGAGGCCAGCCTGGTCTACATAGTGAGTCCAGGCCAGTCAGGGCTAGAGAGAGTCCCTGTAATCAACAAAAACCCCCCTCCCCCCAAAAAACCCTGACCATTGCCAAGTGTGGTGGCCTCTATTCCCAGTACTTGGGAGGTAGAGGCAGGCAGATTGCTATGAGATCCAGGCCAGCCTGGGATTGTCTACATAGTGAATTTCAAGCCAGCTGGGGCCATAGGAGATCCTGTCTCAAAACAACAAAAATCTAACTGAAGGCAGCAGAGCAAGGCTAATAGAAGCCATGGGAGAAATGTTTTTCACTTCCAATTCCAAGAGGGCTCCTTCTCAAACTTTCATTCTTCCCTGAGAAGTCTCTACTAGGAAAGGGCTTGTGTGCACTGCAGCTTTTCTGTGTTGCAAGGTCCTTCAGGAGGGACATCCACACCATGGCTAAGTTCCACTGAGGCAAGGCATACAAAGGAGTGAATGCTACCAACATCTGAGCCATGACAGAATCTTCAGAGCCTCAATCTGAACAGATTCCTTTGGCCCCAGGAGAGTAAAGGCGGCAATGTAGATCAGTGGGAGGGAAGCTTCATGAGCAGGGAGCAGGAAGGAGCCTGGTGGCGTCCTCCAGAAGGAACCATACCACCCCTTGAGAGGCTCAGCTGTTGGGCCCAGTGGGCTAAGGGCTTTCCTACTCCCCCTTCTCCTCAGCCTCTGCCCTTCTCTGCTACTGCACCTTATAACACCCAAATGGTAAAATCAGGAAGTGAGAGCCAGGCGTGGTGGAGCACTTTAGTCCCAGCACTCTGGAGGAGGAGGCAGGCAGATGGATCTCTGTGAGATTGATGCCAGCCTGGTCCACATAGCAAGTTCTAGACAGTGGGTGCTATAAGGTGACACTGTCTCAATAAGCATTCTTTTGATAAATCTCTCCAGCAGAGTCCTCACCTGGTTCTGTCATTCAGACTGAAGACAGAGCTCTTCCCAACTCTGACCTTGTCCCTAAGCACTCCAGACCTACTTCAAGAGCAGTCTGTCCCCTCTAACTTCCTCACCTGGCATAGGTAGGGAAGTGGGGTCAGCCTGACTTGTAGGCCCTGTTGTCTTCAGTTTGCCCTTCAGATGCCAGCACCAGCCTTTACACTGAATTGGAAAGCCATGGATTCCTGGCTGAAGGGTGAGCAGTTTCAGACTCTTATCAAGCCAGATTAGTGGAGAGAAGGTGGCTGATGGGGTCATGCAGGACACTCAGGAACCAAAAGCCAAGAGCCAGCTGGTTCCCAGAGTCCCCTGAAAAAAGTCAAAGGTCCTCAGGAGACCATAGAGGCAGAGCTGAGAGTTTGCTGGAGTCCTGTCCCTCCCCAGGCATCTGCCACCTCCTAGTCCTCGCCTCACACCTCTTGCACCTTCCAAGAAGCCACAAGACCAAAGTCCAAAATGGGAGGCTTTAATACAAAAAGGGGAGCAGAGCCTAGGAAGCACTTAAATAAGGGCAAAATGTCAGGAGCCTGAGACTGGAGGTGCAGGGATTCTGCGGAGCTGGATGATGCAGACTGAGTTCCGAGCTTCTTTGATCCTCCACCATCGGCCAAGCCTACAGAGATTGAGGGGAACAGCTAAGATGGACCCACCCCCATCCCCTCTCCCATTCCAAACCTGCCCTGCCTGTACAATCTTGCCCTCAGCCTCACTCCACATCATGTACCTGTGTTCCTGTCCTACTCCAGCCACTAAGAAGTCTCCAGAACTGGAGAACTTGAGGCTGTTGATGAAACCCACCTGAGGAGAGAGGAACACAGTAAGACATCAGAACATTCCTCTCCCATAGCCCCCAAATCCCTGCTGCCTCCTACACCTGGCTATGTGGACCAGCTCTTTCCCCCTGGGGCCTCAGCCTCAGCCTTAGCCTCAGGAGGAAAGAGGGGAGATGGAGACCCAGCTGGGCAGGGAGATGTTTAGGATTAAAGGGACAGTGTTCATCAAGTGCATTAGGGACCACCTGGGGCTAGCTCCTGGCAATAAGTAAGGCTCCAGTCTAGCCATCCAGACCCAGGCTGGCACTCATGTAGAACCAATCATAGTGCAGGCCTCCACTCTATGCCCATGTTGTTCCCTACCTTGTACCCTACCTTGTACCCTACAGTCAGGATGGAGACTAGGACAGGGAGTCTAGGAGAACAGGGAGAGGAGAGAGTCCCTACCAGACTCTGCTAGGAAGTGGCCCTGCCCTGAAGAGACTCCCTTGGACAAGAAGAATGGAAAGAGCTCATTCCAGGGCCAGGAGCTCCAGGGCCTCCAGAGTATGGCAAGACAGGCCGAGCATTCAAGACCACTTACCAGAGGGATGTCACAGAGAGGGTCAAGTCGCCGGAAGCCCTCCCCACACTGCCAAAGCCGCACACAGGAGTTATGAGAACCTTGGGGGACAGGGGAACAATGAGCAACCTCCACAGGAGCTCACACACCACTCCATCCTCCCCACCTCACAGAGCACCCACCTGTAGCCACGAGGTCTGTGTTGAGTAGGGCTGCCACCGAAGACACCCAGAAGGGCTGCTCCAGGCCTGGCTCCCCATGCAGCCCATGAGCTTCACGCTGCAGGGCAAGTGGCCGCTTCTTGGAGAGGCCCCACAAAGCCACAGAGCTGTAGATGGGAAACACAGTGAGTGAGTGGTCAGAGGACAGAAGGCGCACAGCAGGGAAGGCCAGGCTCACACAGATACAAACACAGAAACACACACACAAACACACTAGCTGAGGATATGGACCAGGTCATTAGTCCAAAATGATCCCAGTGGGGAATTTCTTTCTTTCTTTTTTTTTGTCTTTTTTTGAGACAGGGTCTCCCTGTAGCCCCAGCTGTCCTGGAAATCACTATGTAGACCAGGTTGGCCTCAAACTCACAGAGATCCGCCTATCTCTGCCTCCCAAATGCTAGGATTAAAGGCATGTGCCACCACACCTGGCCCCAGTGGAGGATTCCATGAGTTAAGTTCAGGGCCTGACAGGGAGGAAGTGCTCAGAGGCAGCAGCAGTGGTCAGACATCAAAAAGGCAGCTCTTACCCATCATCTGCACCAGACACCATGTGTTCCTCGTTGATCAGATGGATGCAGTCAATAGAGCCCCTAGATAGAGGGACTGTGAGGGACTTGGCCCAGCCCCACCCCCAGCCCACACAGCCCCGACCTGCCACAGCAGGTAGCCTTACTGGTGGCCATAGAAGACAAGCTGAGACTCCTCGGGGATCTTCCACACTCGCACGGTCCCGTCCCGGCCCCCAGCTGTCACACAGCACTCCCGGCTCAGGGCATCCAGTGCAGCCACAGCATCTTGGTGCCCAAACCTGGAGGGTGAAACAGAGCAAAATGAGAGAGTCACATGTGAACTCACCTACATGTGAACCCACATCCACACGCCCTCTGCCTGAGCGCCCTCTACCTAAACACTCACAGTGTCTCCACATAGGAGTTCTCTGCCACGTTCCACACCTTCACAGATCGATCATAGGAAGTACTATAGAGCTGGTGGGTGCCTTTTCGGAATGCCAGCCCCTAGTGTGCATGAAGAGAGGTTAAAAGGGACTCAACTACAGCAGGCGAGACATAGACCAGGCCCAGAAGGCCCTCCTGCAAGCAAGTCACCCTGCACAATGAGCCAGCTCTCCCAAAGCACTGTGAATACCATTTGAGAGCCTGTAGGGAACCAGGGATGTACCTACCTATCCTCAAACAGGCCTTCCTTGGCCCCGTGCCAGCTGAACCTGGTCTCTCTCCACCCCTCCTCATCTTTTCAGCCCATTTATGTTCTTTACACACCACTCAATGCCCAAGAGGAGATGCAGACCCAGAAACCCAGCACCAAGCCCAGCCCACTCAGCAGGTATTCACTAAATATCTAGAGCTCACCGACACAGCGTCCCGGTGTCCCGTGAAGGTGTACAGGTGCTGGCAGCTCTGGGCCTCCCAAATTAGAATCAACTTGCTACGGTCCCCAGAGGCCTGTAGGGATGGCAACAATGGCCACAGGCACACACCACACACCCAGGCCTCCCACCTGTCCCTGGGGCCAACCCAGGCTTACAAGGTACTTGCCATCAGAAGAGATGGCCATGCAGAGGATATGGCTGCTGTGGCCAGTCAGCTGCCCCTCAGCACCCTTCTTGGCTCGAGGAATCACATGCAGCTTCCGCCCACTCTCCACACTCCCTGCCATCAGGAAAGGAGAGAGACTACTGGGATAGGATTACTGGCTCGCTGGCTGGCTGGCTGGCAACACTCCCTCAGCATGAAGGGACAACATGGAAAAGGAGTCATGGGAAAAGTCCTGAACTTGGATCAGAGGACCTGGTTAAGACACTGTGAACCTCTAGACAAGTCCCTTCAGTCTTGTCATCTGTCAAATGGAGGCAAACAGTTCCTAAAGCCAGCCATGGCCCATGAAAGAGAAACGATGCTAAAGGGCCTTGGAGAAGAGGGGTATAGCTCAACTGGACAGTGCTTGTCTAGCATATACAAGGCGTTTTCTATCCCGTACAACAATTCCCTCAAAGAAAAAAACAAAGTAGAAGCTGGTGAGATGGCTCAATGGATAAGGGCACTTGCTGCCAAGGCTGATGATCTGAGTTCAATCCCCGACCCTACATGGAGGAAGGAACAAACTGATTCTCAGTTATCCTCTCACCTCCACATGTGAGCCAGAGCACGTGTATACACACAAGATGGATAGTCAACAAGTACTGTAAGGGAAAGTTGAAAAGAACTTTGAAGAGAGTTCAAGAGGGTGTGAAACTGTTAAGAGGTAAACAGGTAGGGTCTGCACAGCCCACCGGAGGATTCAACCCGGCACCGGTTCAACCTGGCAGTCCCGGCAGATCTTTCCCACTCCCCGTTCCTCCTGACCCCTCCACCCATCCATCCTCTCCCTGCGTTCCGCCACCGCCAAACCCCTCTCTCCGGAGGGGGGGTGTCGGCACTCTGGCACACAAACATAAAACAAAAGTTTTTTAGAAAGAAAAAACAAAGTGCTTTGGGACTGATGGTATGATTTCTTCCTCTGACAACAGTGGGTAGGTGTGGACTGTGCTCAGATATTAGGGGTTAGGAACCTAGAAAGACCAAGGACACAAACCCAGGTCTGCACAGAACCTCAAACACCTTCCCATCCAATCCTGCATGTGGCCCATGGTATCCAATGCCACAGAGCTCAGAAGCCTGACTACTGGGCAGAAACTTCCACTGTCATCTCCTTGGTAGCAAACCTGCTTCCAGGAGCTTCCACTATCAGGGCTAGTTGCCAAGGTGTCTCGTTCCCTACAAGACCAGCCCTCAGATGTCCCACAGGGGCTGCATCCCAAACATACTCCCACAACTCTCAACTCACACTTAATGATGGTACAGTCTTTGGCAGCAGAGAAGATGGCCAGGTCATCAGGAGTAATGACCAAACACGTGATGGAGAGCTGGTGGCCACGTAAAACTCGAATGTCAGTGGGGGCTGGGGCCTGGATCTGAGCAGACAGGGTCTGGGTCACTGTGGTTGGGTGCATAAAGGCCACTCCCCACCCAGAACCATCCTTCCCCACCCACCCTGGCCAGAAGGACAGTAAGGCTGCAAGAATAAGACCTTTCCTTACCTGACCATACCTGTCCAAGCATTCAATGTATGCCAAAAGAAGACCCAGAGAGCCTGAGCCCCAATGGGCCATCTGCCCACCAACCCAGGTTGAGTCCACTGACTCCTAACCTTACACCAAAGTGCCCTGCCCACTCACCTCCTTTGCCACCGACTTCTGCAGCCTGCCTCTCTGTTCAAGCTGCGAAGAGAGGAGAGAGAAGTGAGGAGCTGGGAGCAGAAACAGCCTCCCCTCACACACTCACACCCTGCCCTCCACACTCACCACATCCTCCTTCAGGCGCCCTGCCACTTGGTCCTCCTCAAATGCACGGGCCTCAGCTTTTTCTTCCTCTGTGTAGGTAAGCCCAGTCCACAAAAACCAAGGCTGAGATCCCCCCTCTTCCATCCCATCCCTAGCCCTCCATCCCAAGGCTGAGCCATGAGTGCCTATCCTTTAGGAAGCTCAGACTGCCTCAGCAGAGGGGAGGGAAGACAGGACAGTCTCCTGCCTTTGTTTATCAAACTAGGTTCAACTCCCAGCAGGTCTAGCCTGCCCTAGCTAACAGGGGCCCATGAGAGCTCCTGCCCCACCCTGTTGTCCCCCCACACACACAGGATAGCCAATACCAGCAGCACTGGTAGACACCGGGATGCTGTGTGAGTGACCCATCAGATGGCTGGAGCTATAGCAGGAACATCAGGCAGGCCCTGGCAGAGGCCTGGCCTTTACCTAGCCAGTCCACAGCTCACCTTGCTGCCTGAGCTGCTCAAGGTAGAGCTTGGCCAAGCGTAGCTTCTTCTCTTGTGCTGTCTCCTCCAGCTCCTCCTCCTCCTCCTCCTCCTCCTCTGTCCTCTTTGGAGCCAGGCTATGGGAAGAAGGGGTTGGGTCTAAGGGGTTACCCCTCTCATCTGGCCACTAGGACTGTGCTTCTTCAATGCCCTCTCTGTCCCTGCTAGCCTGCAGGGACAATGATACTTATGCTGAAGGTTGAAGGCTATGACCTGCCAAACTGAAAGATCTCACTCAGTACCCAAAGTACCTGAAAAATTATTGGGAAATTTCAGTGGTGAAAGAAAAGGCTCCACATGCTGCTAAGAGAAACCAGGTTGTATACAAAAAAATCAGAACTAAAAACTAGCAGGGCTGGGGGCTGCAGAGATGGCTCAGTAGTTAAGAATACTTGCTGCTCTTACAGAGGATCTGGGTTCGGTTCCTAGCTCTCACATCAAGTGGCCCACAACCACCTGCACCTCTAGTTCCAGGGGATCCAACACCTTCTTCTGGCCTCCTAGGACACCATAGAGATAAGCAGGCACACACATAACACTGACCTACCTCAGTGGCAAAGTGCTTGCCTAGCATGCTTGAGGCCCTAGGTTCAACAGCCAGCACCAAAAAAGGAAGAGAAGGGAGAGGCCGACAAGAGCGAGCCTGCTCTGCCTAGTTACAGCATCAATGACAAATGAAGATATGGCCAGGGGTACGACTCCGTGGTAAAGCATGGACTTAGCATTTGCAAGGTCCTGAGTTCAATCACCATCCCCCAAAAAACTTAAAAAAGACAAGCTGGACATGGTGACACATGCCTTTAACCCCAGCACTCTGTGAGAGTTGAGACCAGTCTGGTCTACATAGAGAATTCCGGGCTAGCTGGAGCTACACACAGAGACCCTGTCTCAAAAAACAAAACACAAACCAAAAAAAGATATTGTCAGGTCAGGCACAGTGGCACACATCTAGAATCCTTGAACTGGGGGTTAAGACAAGGGGGCTTACCTCTAAGTTCAAGCCCAGCCAGGGCTAGAACAAAACCCTGTCTCAAAAACTACCCCACAAAAAGACATCAGATGTGCAAGGTAACACAGAACTGGTCTTTTCTCCCTTTATTGTGCTTCCCAAACAAAGAGGAGAAACTAAAGGAGAAAGGGACAGGAAATCCAACAAAGAACAGAAAAGGCAGGTATCAGGATGATAAACATTCCCAGAAAGGAAGCCAGTCCCATCAGAACTCTAGAGTCAAGGCCCAGTGTGAGAGAACATGCCTTTAATCCCAGCACTCAGAAGGCAAAAGCAGGCAGATCTCTGTGAGTTGGTCTACATAGGGAATTCCAGGCCAGCCAGGGCTACATAGTGAGGCCATGTCTCAAAAAACAAACAACAACAAATATCCAAGAGACAAATGTGTTGAGGTGTCCTAGGCTCACCAGCCCAGCACTCTCCTGTACCCTGGGGTAAAGGTTCCAGGTAAATCCAAATTAGTGCTGGCTTGGCCATGTGTTGGTGAATTTCTTGCTGTCCCCTCTAAGGCCCAGACCCTGGGCTAGCTGAGATTCCCTTCACTCAAAGACAAGTCCAGCTTTGACCTGCTCCTGAGAGCTGGAGGTAGGTCTTGAGAAGTCCAAGGCAGCCCATTCCCTCTGATCACAAGTCTGCAGACAACCAGTCTACCAGATGCTGTTTCCCAGCACACACTATGACCTTACCCAGGACTTCCTCCAGAAGGGACTTTAAAACTTCTCAGAGAAAGGATTACCCACACCAATCAATCTGCTGTTTAAGGGCCCACACACAGGAGACAGAACTCCATAAGAAAGTAAAGGAGAGGGCTAGTGAGATGGTTCAACAGGTTAAAGTACCTGCCTCTAAGCCTGACAACCTGAGTTCAATCCCCAGGATCGACCTGGTGGAAGGAAAGAACCACCTCCCAACAGTTCTTCTGATCTAAGTACAGGCACACTGGCACATGCATACACACAAAATAAATGTAATTTTTAAAAATTATTCTTATGTGTATGAGTATACTGCCTGCATGTATACAAATGCACCCATGTTGTACAGTGACTGCAGAAGTCAGAAGAGGGCATTGGAACTTCTGAAACTGGAGGTTCAGACACCTGCTAGCTGCAATATGAGTGCTGGGAATTGAACCTGGGTCTTCTGCAAGAGCAGAAGGGCATTCTGGGAAAGGTAACTCTAGGGACAGTGGTCAATGGTGACAGGATGGAGAAAGAGTTGACTATAAAGTAGCCAAGAGAGTTTGGGATTAGTGAGGAGAACCTTCTGGATCTTCATAGTGGTGGGAGCTATACAACTGTATGCCTATCAAAACTCACAGAACTACACACTACAAAAGATGAATATTACTATGTGTAAGTTATACATGAATAGAATTTTTTTTTTGGTCTTTTTGAAACAGGGTCTCCCTGTAGCCCCAGCTGTCCTGAAACTCACTATGTAGACCAGGCTGGCCTTGAACTCGCAGAGATCCGCCTGTCTCTGCCTCCTGAGTGCTGGGATTAAAGGCATGCGCCACCATGCCCAGTTTTTTGAATAGAATTTTTTTTATTTTAAAAAGCAGTAAAAGAAACCCAAAGAAATTATTAACTAGAATCACAAATAACAGATTCAGTCAGGCATGATGGCACGCACCTTTAATCCCAGCACTTGGGAGGCAGAGGCAGACAGATCTCTGTGAGACTGAGGCCAGCCTGGTCTACACAGTGAATTCCAGGGCAGCTAGAGTTAAATTGTGAGACCCTGTCTCAAAAAACAAACAAACGAACAAACAAAAATTTTAAGAGTAAAATATTTCATAAGTGTCCTAAGTCTTTTCTTCTGGCAACTGAACTTAGGCTTGCTACATGCTCAGCAAATGCTCTACCATTGAGCCATCTCACCAGTCCTTTTTTTAAAAAAAAAAAAAAAGACAGGGTCTTCCTAAGTTACACAGACTGGCCTAGAACTCTATAGCCCAAGCAGGTCTTGATCTCACATTCCTCCAGCCTCAGCCAACTGAGCAGCTGGGGTTCCAGGTCTTCATCACAAGATCTAACTAGGTTCTAGTTCTTTTTGTGTGTGCACATATGATATATACATGTATGTGGTATATGCATCTATGTGTATGCAGACGCACAGTGCAGAGCCAAGAGAGGGCATCTTTCTTGCCTTATTTCTTTGAGACAGGGTCTCTCCCTGAACCTGGAGGTTCATTTTTTGGCAAGGCTGGCAGCCAGCAAGCCCTAGTGAGCCTCCTGTCTCCACTTTCCATAGTCCTGGGGTTACAGGTGCTTGTGAGACCACACCTGGCTTGCTGAATGGGTGCTGAAATCTGAACTCAGTTCTTCATGGTTGCACAATAAGTGCTTTTAACCACTGAGCCATCTCTCTAGCCCAGTGTTGTAATTCCTAACCTAAGTGGTAGGTACACTACTTTATAATCACTCTGTATAGACACATTTCTTTCACTCTTCTGTAGCTGATAACTACATGATACAACTTAAAAGATGGGGACTGGAGAGACTGCTCAGTGGTTAAGAACACTGGTTGTTCTTGCAGAAGACCCAGGTTCAAATCCCAGCACCCACATGGCAGCTAACAACTGTCTGTAACTCCACTCCCAGGGGATCTGACAGCCTCTTCTGACCTCTTCAGGCATTGCACAACATGGGTGCACTTACCTACACACAGGCAACACACACATACACATAAAATAAAAATGATAATAAAATAAAAAAAGAAAAACTTAAAAGCTCAGGTCCTGGTATGAAACACACATACCAACCTTAGGATTGTAAAACATACTAAGCCTTTCTGTGAACAAGTTAAGGCAACACATAGTTTCAAAAGCAGAATTTCTAAACACAATTTATAAGGAAGGTACCAGGATTCCCTGGATTGAATCCACCCCTAAAAATAACACCTGCCCAGCCCTTTGAAACCTGGCTGCCACACCCATCACCTGCTGAAATGAAGGATGTGTTCAAAGCCCTCAACACTCTAGATGGACTCTTCCATCTTTTCTATCTCCAACAGTGACACCCAGACTTTTTTCAGATCGCTGAATGCCTTCCCTACCTCTCAATGAGACTCCTCATCGCTCCAGGCCCTAATTAAACATGCTTCCTCTGTTCTCAGAACACATGCCTACAAGATACACATCTCCCTATAGCATCTCTCTCCACCTGCCTGCTCAACTGTATCCCCAACAGTTCTGACGCCAGTCCCTAAGGTTAGAGTCAAGGGAAGGCGGGGCATGTGGTAATATATCCTGTAGTCTCAACTACTTTGAGGCTGAGGAAGTAGGACTATTTGTTCGCATCCTTCTCCCTCTTGCCTTTCAATCCAGATCTGCCATGAGCCAAGAAGATCTCAAGGTGTTCCACTGGGGCCCAGGGTCCTCCCTATAGAGAAACCACAGACGAAAGATGACCAGAAATTGGAGGAAAGAACCCCGATCTAGGAGCCAAAAGCCAGAGTCGAGAGTTCTCCACCCAGCTCTAGTCCCACTCACTGCATGTTCCATTCACTAAGAGCCTCAGTTTCCCCTTCTACTCGGCAGAAAAGAAGAGCTCACCTCTCGCTCTCGGAGTCACTGGAAATCTCTTCGTTCATCTTGCCACCACCCTTGGACTTGCCCCTGTCCCCCGCAGAGTCGGCCTGGAAATTGTACAATATTTTCTTTAGTCACAGGTTCTTCGGGTTCCTCCAGAGTCCCAGGACCCAGAAACGCAATAGCTCCTGGCCCTGGCCCTGTGCAAGGCTTTCTAGGATCTGGTGGGCGGAAGAGGACCAGGCTGCCTCCAGCTGGGACCCAGGCAGGGCTGGGCGCGGGGTCCGGCCCAGGGATGGGAAGACGACTGTCCCAGGGGCGGGGTCCGAGGCAGCCGCGGAAGAGCCATGCTCACCTTCCGCCGCCGCTTGCCGGCCCCTGCAGCGGCCCCGGGCCCGGAGGCCGGCTTTCCCCGCTTCCGAGCTGCCGCTGTGGTCGACATGCTGTTCCCCTGAGCGCCGCGGCTGCAGAAGAACTCACATGGCAGCTAAGCCGCATGGTAAGACCGCGAGCCCTAACAGGCTGCCAAGCCCGCAGCGGGCCGCGCCTTCCCACAGCTCCATTGGGTCCGCCAGAAGACCCTGCCACGCCCCCGAGCGCCTATTGGACAGTCGCCTGTGGCCTCGCCTCCCATGGCTCCTATAGGTTCCGGCACCTGGCTGGAGTAGAAACCAAGCCTCTCCCCGCCATTTCCGGCCTAGGCCTGTGGCGCTTGCGCTGTGCGGCGGTCTGGCTTAGAGGGCGGGGTCTGGCCAAGAGGGCATTCCTTGAGCTTGCGCTTCATGGACACTAGGGGGCGCCAGCGATGAAAGATTCTGCGTTCTCTCGGGTCCCTCCCCATCAAGGGGTGGAGACGAGGCTTAACAAAACACCTGGCAGAATCCTGGCAGTCCTGGAGAGAAGGCAGTATCCGAACCCAGGGCCAAAGTCACTGTGCAAATAGCGGATACGTGCTGCATGCCCCAGGCCAAAGCTGCATGAAAAGACGTGTCAGTCCTTTGGGCTTTGGATGTGCCCAGATCAGTGCTCTGTGAGACAGGCCACCGACCTCAGCCTGCCCAGCCTCTGACTCACCCCACTAAGCGGCCAAATGGCTGGAATCCTACACCACCCCCAAGCTCTTTCCTCTCCTCTGGTGATTGCTTGGAAATCCCTACCCAAGACAAGCAGAAGGCTCACTGAGAGTCACTAGAAGGGAGCCCAGACTTGGAATTGCCTTAGGAGGTGCACACAGTATTCCCGATACTAGGCTGGGTGACAGCTACCTCTTCCAGGGTCCTGCTTCTCTTGGGTGAGTGTCTTGGGAAGGGTAGGGCAGGGCAGGGCAGGGCGGGTGGAGAGAGCTGGGCCTTGATCTCTGGCAACTGAAAGCCACTTATCTGAAACTTTGGCTGACACCCCAGAACTCTGGAGTGTCATGAAGACTCTTCTGCACCAGCCGGTTCTAAGTTCTAGAGAGGTAGACCTGGCACCAGAAAGGCTGCCCTGGAGCCACTGCCTACTGTCCCCCATAGCTCAGATGACTCAGCCCAGCAACCATGCCAGGTCCAAGATTACTGACAGGATGAAGAGGAAATGTTCTAGAAAGGGAGGAGCCCAGAAGTGGAAGGGGTGATTCTTCTTTCACTTTTCCTACCACCTCAGGGCACACTGGGGAGCTGGACAGGGTAGGGAGCCAACTTCTTCCTTACCCAGGGTGGGCAGGCTGGACAGATAGATCCTGACTGCACATTTCAGACTTGAGGAAGGGGCATATCTGAGGTACAGAGAGCAGTTTTCATCCTGGGCTGGAAATGGGGATGGTGTAGTAAGGGGAGGAGGCCAGCCCCTGCAAAGGCAAACCTGGACACCCACCCTTCCCCTCACACCCCTGCCCCAGGACAACCATGGCTCCGAAACGAAAGTCTTCAGGGCAGACTGAAGGCCAGAAGAAGAAAGGGCGACAGGGAACAGGGGAGAAGGATAGCTTCGGATCCACCGCTGAGGCTCTCAGAGCTGCTCCTGAAGATAAGCGCATCATACGTGTAGACCCTACATGTCCACTCAGCCACAACCCTGAGACCCAGGTGAGCTGCAGCCCCATTCTGACCACAGCCTCTTCCCCCTGGGTCCTCAGTTCTGGCCAGGTAGCTCAAGGTTCCCAAGTAAGCTCCAGGGTTTGTTTACATGTGTTCTCATGACTGCAAAGGTCAGGGCAGTATCCCATCAGATCGAGGAGGGGCATGTGTAGCCACCAGACACTAAGGAGGTCTCCTGTACCATACTCAAAGAAAGGCTCTAACTCAGTTTCCTCAGTGCTCACCCATATCTCCTCAAACCAGGCCCTCAGAGCAGAGCTGGGTCTCCTTGAGATTCCCCCACCCAGGACACAGCTGTGTCCTCTCAGAACTCCCACTCCCACTCTCACAGCTTAGTTGCATCCTGTCAGACTGAATGCCCTAGGGCAGAGCCATGACCGCAAGTGCCAAGAACCCCTCTGATGCCCTAGTGTAGTTGGGCTCCTGTCTCCCAGTGTGCAAACACCCTGCCTAAACCCAGCCACACTGCCCTCCACGCTCACCCCACACAGGTACATGAGGACTATGACTGTACCCTGAACCAGACCAACATCAAAAACAACAACAACAAATTCTACATCATCCAGCTGCTAGAAGACAACAGCCGCTTCTCCTGCTGGAACCGATGGGGCCGTGTGGTGAGCACCTTGTGCTGTCTCCTCTACCTCTGCCTGCTCTGCACGTACTCTTAGGGTCCCCAAAAGAACCACTGCTGCCTGCTGTCCCTCTTTACCTTCAACTTGGGCCTGGGGACAGAGTTCAGAGGCAATTGCCCCAGCCCACAAGCCAGCAAACATTTCTGATGGGCATATCTCTGAAAGTTGTCATTTGCAGGGAGAGGTGGGTCAGACCAAGATCAACCACTTCGCCTCCCTGGATGCTGCCAAGAAGGACTTTGAGAAGAAATTTTGGGAGAAAACTAAGAACAAGTGGGCAGAGCGGGACCACTTTGTAGCCCACCCCGGCAAGTACACGCTTATCGAAGTGCAGGGAGAAGCTGAGGCCCAAGAAGCTGTAGTGAAGGTAAAGGGAGGGGCTGGTTGCCCAGCAGGGCTCCCTCAAGTACCAGACTCCCTCTCTGGTCTAATGCCCTGCCCTGCTCCTTGTGTGGCCATCCTGCCCAGCTGCTCCTACCCATGTGGGCTCTTTCTCCCCAGGTGGACGGAGGTACAGTGAGGACCGTGGTTAAGCCCTGCTCCCTGGATTCCGCCACCCAGAAGCTCATCAGCAATATCTTCAGCAAGACAATGTTCAAGAATGCCATGGCCCTCATGAACCTGGGTGAGGGTGAGGGCTGGGCAGGGTGGCAGGGCCCCAGGTGTGGGGCTACAGAGCTGAGTCTTCCTCATTATTTTATTATTTTATTCCCCAGATGTGAAGAAGATGCCCCTGGGAAAGTTGAGCAAACAGCAGATTGCACGGGGTTTTGAAGCCTTAGAGGCTTTGGAGGAAGCCCTAAAAACCCCCACAGGTGGTGGCCAGACCCTGGAGGAGTTGTCCTCCCACTTCTATACTGTCATCCCACACAACTTTGGCCGCAGCCGGCCCCCACCCATCAACTCCCCCAAGATTCTGCAGGCCAAAAAGGACATGATGCTGGTGAGGGCAGACAGACTGGACAAAGAGGAAAGGAGAAGAGGGGTAGATGCAGGCTAAGGGACAGGGGAGAGGAAGTCCAGACAAAAAGATGGCATGGGAATGGACAGGTGGGGTGTCTGTCACACAGGAAAGGCAGGGAGCGGTGTCCGTCAGGCAAACAAGCTCCAGTGCCCATAATCTTAGGTGTTGGCAGACATCGAGCTGGCCCAGACACTGCAGGCAGCTCCTAGAGAGGAGGAGAAAGTGAAGGAGATGCCACACCCACTGGACCGAGATTACCAGCTCCTCAAGTGCCAGCTTCAGCTGCTGGACACTGGGGGGCCAGAGTACAAGGTGAGCTCTGCCTACCTGCTGTTGAAGTGCCAGAGGAGCCCTGGCTCTCAGCTTTCTCTCCTATGTCACCAGGCCCAAGGAGAGCCCCGGACTAAGGGAACCATTGGGCACTAGTGTACTAGTCTCCCACCATCAGCCCCCAGCTTCTGCTTTCCCACAGGCAATACAGACCTACCTGGAACAGACTGGCAACAACTACAGATGCCCAACTCTACAACATGTTTGGAAAGTGAACCGAGAAGGGGAGGTGAGGAAGTTCAGTCCCATATCACCACTCTGTCCCTTAAAAAGATAACTTCAACTTATCTGCCCCTTACCGACCTGGCTTAGCAACTCTGACCAGTTTCTGCCAGGCTAAGCGTGTGTGAGTGACTAGACCGGTCCTAGACCTTGGTCATGCCATCTGAGAAGAGGGAGGGATACCTGAACCCTCACATGGCATTCGACTCCCATTTCCTACCCTTCCCCCACTCAGGGAGACAGGTTCCAGGCCCACTCCAAACTGGGAAATCGAAGGCTGCTGTGGCATGGCACTAATGTGGCTGTGGTGGCTGCCATCCTCACCAGCGGGCTCCGAATCATGCCGCACTCTGGTGGCCGTGTTGGAAAGGGCATCTACTTTGCCTCGGAGAACAGCAAGTCAGCTGGCTATGGTGATGTGCCCTCTAGGTCAAGTCCTGGGTGGGCATGGAGACACCAAGGTGGACTGGGCCCAGCCTTGAGAGATGAACCTTGATTTATTTTTTATGTATATGAGTGTTTTGCCTGCATGTATGTAAGTGTACCACATGCATGCAATACCCTCAGAAGTCACATAAGATCCCCTGGAACTGGAGTTATAAATGGTTGTTAGCTATCACATGGTTGCTGGGAGCTGAACTCAGGTCCTCTGCAAGAGCAGCCAGTGCTATTAATCACTGAGCAGTTCATCTCTTCAGTCCCATGAGAGATGAACCTTGAAAGTATTACTGACCAGAGTGCAAAATGAGGCATCTTAGGGTTGGGGGAACTCCCAGGAGGCACCTGGCAGTCCGGTACAGCCTCCTGGAGATGAGATGGCTAGAACCAGACTATAAACAGTGAGGGTTGGTGGGGACCCTTGAAAGTGAGGGGCTAGTACCAGGGCCAGAGGCTATACAGGCCAGACCTTGCCAGCACATCCTGGTACAGAAGTTGTCAGCAGTGCCAGGTGAGGAGGGGCTGGGGCCTGAGACCATCAAGGGAACTTTCTCCAGAGAGCCACAGAGAGCCCAGATGAAATGTGCACATTACAAGATTTCAGCGGCTGTGGCAGTGGAGATGGTGGTAGAGGCTGGAGGCTACAGGGAAGCTGGGCTCTCTTTCAGGCCACAGAGGTTGGGCACTGGTCCCAGGGCTATGAAGTGAGAGCAGAGAACCCATGAGAGGACCACACAGGAGGAAAGGTGGTTCTCACTTTAGTGGCCTTACTTAGCTCAAGCTGACTGCATCATTAGAGGCGACCACTACCCACCAGTCCAAGAGAGCAAAGTCTAAGGATTCAACCAACAAGTAGAGCTGAAGTTCTTGGTGGACCAAGAGGGTCTACCAAGAGGGCAGGGAAGCCCAAGAAAGACTGGCTGGGGGACCTTGGGAGAGTCGATTAAGGGAGTCCATGTTGGGGATGACTGAGGCATGCCAATAGCAAAGTGAACAAAATGGCCCAGGGAGAAAGGCCCCTTCCTGAGCTCCCAGGCTAGGTGAGAGTGTCAGGGAGTGAGGAAGGGTGGGGCAGCAGAAGTGGGAGGGAGTTGCCAGGATGAGAGCTGCTGAAGGACAGCGAGTACTTTCCTGGGCTAGGCAGCACAACTATTGGAGACATGACCCCTATGGCAGAGATTGGGCCCCAGGGTCATGCAGGCCTGAACTGCCCTCTCCTCACACTGATCCTCTATGTCCTCTAGTTACTACCATGCACTGTGGGGGCCACCAGGTGGGCTACATGTTCCTGGGTGAGGTGGCCCTGGGCAAAGAGTACCACATCACCATTGATGACCCCAGCTTGAAGAGACCACCATCTGGCTTCGACAGTGTCATCGCTCGAGGCCAAACAGAGCCCGGTGAGTTCAGGAAAGCTAGTCTGGATCTGTCTAGAAGTGGGACTGATATAAGGGACTGGGGAAATTTTCAGAAAGCAAGCAAGCAGACAGTGGCCTAGGGAGAGGGACAAAAAGATGTAGCCTTCCTCACTGGACTCATTCCCTGCATCAGCCAACAAACACCCACTTATTGTGCAAATCACTGATGGGCATTTAAGAGGGCTTTAAAAAGTCTTGTCATTGACTGGGTGTTGAAGTAGAGAAAAATGGGAGACCTTCCAGGCAGAAAGTCCAGCCTGTGCACAGGCTTGAAGGAGGGCAAGGTGGCATTCTCTGTGGCTGAAGTGGAGAATCGTAGGGAACAAGACAAACTGACAGCACCAGGCACCAGCAACCCTTGGCTACCCATACCTTGCAGATCCCACCCAGGACATTGAACTAGAGATGGATGGGCAACAAGTAGTGGTACCCCAGGGCCAGCCCATGCCATGCCCAGAGTTCAAGAGCTCTAACTTCTACCAGAGCGAGTACCTCATCTACCAGGAGAGCCAGTGTCGCCTGCGCTACCTACTGGAGGTCCACCTATGAGCTGCCTGCCCTCCCCAGGTCCTATTAGGCTGGACCATGATCTTCCCTCTCCTGTCTCTGGAACTCCCACATCACTCCTTTTCACTCCTAAGAATATAATACATACCAGGCAGATTGGCATAAATCACCTCAGGAGGCCAAGAGAAGAAAAACACTTGAACCTGGGAGTTGAAGGCCAACCAGGGCTACATAGTAAGACGTATCTCAAGGAAAAAAAATCTAGCCTAGTGTAGTGGCACACACCTTTAATCCAAGCACTCACACTCAAAGGCAGAGGCAGTTGGATCTCTGTGAGATTGAATTCAGCCTGGTCTACATGGTGAGTTCCAAGCCAGCTGGAGCTACAGGGAGACCCTGTCTCAAAGAAAAATTATAGTCACGAGCCAAAGTCAAATAACAATGTTTTGAACCAGATATTGTGACATATGCCTATAATCTCAGCACCTGGGAGGCTAAGGCGAGAGGATCACTGTGAGTTCCAAGGCAGCCTGAACTACAGAGTGAGTCCCTGCCTCAAACATGTATTAGTCAGGGCTGGGGAGATGGCTCAGCAGTTAAGAGCACTGGCTGCTCTTGCAGAAGACCCAGATTCAATTCCCGGCACCCACGTGGTGGCTGACAACCATCTGTAACTTCAGTTTCAGGGAATCCAATGACTTCTGACCTCCACAGGCATTGCATGCATGTGGTGCACTCACATACACACAGGCAAAACATCCATTCATATAAAATAAAAATAAATTAAATTACAGTCAGGTGTGGCACATGACTTTAATTCCAGCACTCAGGAGGCAGAGGCAGGTGGGTCTATGTGAGTTCCAGGCCAGATGGGGCTACAGGGAGACCCTGTCTCAAAAACACAAATTAAATAGATACATAAATAAAAATAAATAAAATTATATATATTTCAATGTTTTAGTCAATGATGGATTGCATATACTAGAATTATGTCACCTAAATGACACTGTAGCCATGTAGTCTGGCTAATATGTTACAAAGAACATATTCTGTGTTCTCACAATGACAGAATCGCCCAGTGACATATTTCTGAGTATGTATCACCATAATTAAGTGAAAAATGACTATACGCTGTCATTTATAGTCACGATGTTGGACAGTAGATCTCTTGAATTTATTTCTCCATTCCAACTGAATTTTGTATCTGCATCTTCCTGATCCCCCTTTTCATTCTAGCCCCTGGCAACCACTGTACTGACAATTTCTATTTGTTCAACCTTTAGGTTCCCCATATGAGTGACATCATGTGATATTTGTCCTTTTGTGTTTGGCCTGCTTCACTTAACAAAGCACACTCCAGTTTCTTCCATGTTGTTTCAAATGACAGCATTTCCTTCTTTTTGAAGACTGAATGATACTCCAGTGTGTGCTCACACCACATTTTCTTTGCCCATTCTTCCATCAAAGGGCACTTAGGCTGATTCAGTATCTTGGCTGTTGTGAACAGTGTTGCAATATAAACACCAACCTACTGGTTTCATTACCCCTGGAGTGGGACTGATGAATCTATATCACCTCTTCTTGCCAGACACCCCTTGGATCCCAAATCCTTATTAACCCTGGCATGGCTGTGGCTCCAGAATGTTGCCTCCTAAGGTGATATTTAGAGGGGCACAAGCTACTTTGGGTTGGATCCCCCCTCCAACCCCAGTGCATTGAATCCATGTGCTTTACCAACTAAGTTACTTCTCCATAGAATTTTTGTTTCTTCTTCTATTTTTTGTGGTTAGAGATTGAACCCAGGACTTTGGGCATGTTAAGGCAAGCACTTTAGCTCAGAGTTACATCCCAATCTCACAGACAGGTTTATTAAGCATGAGCCCCTAGCCTCAGCTTGTCTGTGTTATGACGGGCCTGGGCCTGGGCCTTGGCCTCCTTTCTCTCCATGATGACTCTGCACATGGCAGTTCCAGTCCGACTCCAAGAAGTGCATGTCCTCACAAGGACTTATAATGCCCACATACACCCCTGCCCATCCAAGGCCATCCCTGCAGCACCCCATATCCTCTAATAATTGTCCAAAAAGGACCCTCACCATCAACTCAGAAACTGTCATTTGAAAACCCACCTGATTCTGTTCCCCTAGCTTAGACATTGCCAGGTTAATCAAACATCCCTTGTGTTTTGGAGTGTTTTTTAATGTGTATTAGTGTTTTGCCTGCATGTAAATACCCCTGTGTCATGCAATACCCCTGGAGGCCAGGAGAGGGCAATTGGTCTGATGTTAGCTGCCATGTGGGTGCTGGGAACCAAACCTGGGTCCTCTGCAAGAGCAGCCAGTGCTCTTAACCGCTGAGCCATCTCTAGCCCTGCATTCTCATATCTTGTCATCACCATCCCTGTGTGTCTCACATCTGGACATAAGCTGAGAAGAGGGGCACAGCTTTGCAATCCGAAAAGAATGCCAGTTATCACCCTGGTATCCCAGTCCCTAGACAGATGTTGGAAAGCAGGTCAGGGTCACACATTGCTTTATGCTATATCTCATCAGCCTCCTTGTAATCTAAAAATGTTCTTCAGTCCATTTTATCCCCTTTCATAACTTTGACTTTTTTTTTTTTAGATAGAATCTTGCTATAGCCAAGGCTAACCTTGAACTCTTGATCCTCCTACTTTGGCCTTCCAAGTGTTAGGATTACAGGTGTGTTACCACACCCAGCTCATTTTGACATTTGGAATAATGCATGCCAGTTGTTTTATTATTTTTTGGTCTTTTTGAGACAGGGTCTCCCTGTAGCCCCAGCTGGCCTGGAACTCACTATGTAGACCAGGCTGCCTTCAAACTCACCTGAGATCCACCTGCCTCTGCCTCCCAAGTGCTGGGACTAAAGGCATGCACCACCACACCCAGCTTGCATGCCAATTATTATATATAATGTCTCTCAACTGGGCTTGTCTGGTATGGAGGTCAGCAGTTAGATCCCCACCAGGCAGTCAGGATGGGGTCCTGATAACCCTACAGGTGTCTATTACTGAGGTGACCATTTGATGTTTGGTGACAGCTACTTGACAACCACAAAAGCCCTCCTGATTCCTAGAAAAACCACAGAGGCAGGTAGCCTTTGGTGTGCTGATTGACAGCTCATGGCTGCTCCCTCTACAGTCCCCCTCTCCTTTGCAATCCTTTTTATTTAAGAAAATTATAATTTATTTAGTATATGTGTATGTGGCATATATATCAAAGCATGTGCAGAAGTCAGAGGGCAACTTGAGGGAGTCAGTTCTCTCCTTCCACCATATGGGTTCTGGGGATTGAACTCAAGTTGTCAGACTTGGTGGCAAGTGCCTTTACCTGATGAGCCATCATCTCCCTGGCCCTGAAAAGCCCTTAAAAAACAAACAAAAAGCTGGACAATGGCAACCCCCTCTTTGGACCCTCCTGTTGGGCAGTTCTAGTGACAGTTCATCCAAGTCACAACAACTTTGCACTACTATCGAGACCTCTCTTCCTCCCCACCCCTTCAATAAATCTCTTTTCCTTTTCACTCACTTGTTGTCTGCTGGTTTAATTCATCAGACTCATGAGATATGAATTCAGTGTCTGCTGCTAATGATGGGAGCTCAGGTGACCACTGATTGTCCAGCACCTTTGCATCAGTACCAAGCCTTCCTGAGTCTTCTGACCAGACTCTGTCCAACTCAAGGAAAACACCCCAGTCTCAGTATCTTGTCATAATTATATTTCAGGTGTTGTGTGAGCTATGTGAATTATACTGGGAGGGCTATGTCCCATTCTTGGAGATGTTAAATAATTTTTTCGCTTCATTTAAGTGATATTCACCAAGTTTCCCTATTGTAAAGCTGCCATTTCTCTCCTTTGTAACTAATTATTAATCTGTGGAAAGATGCTGCGAACTGTAGACGTCCCATTCCCCATCAACTTTCACCCATAAGCTGTACCATACACTAACAATATCTACTCGTGATCAATCTTTGCTAAGATGCTGGTATATGGTAACTATAAACATCATTTCATTTATATTAAATATGAGAGGGAGGGAGGGAGAGAGAGAGAGAGAGAGAGAGAGAGAGAGAGAGAGAGAGAGAGAACGATTCATGTAGCCCAGACTGGCCTCAAATTCACTATGTAGCTAGGATGACTTTGAACTCCTGACCCTCCTGCCTCCATGTGGAGGCAGTCCTGGGCTTACAAGTATATGCCACCATATACAGCTTCTCCTTTCTTTATTTTTCATATAGATTCATAGCTTTTTATTCTATTCAGTGAGTTGTAGTCATTATTTGATTCTCACATTGCCCCACACTTAGCTGGCAGAAGGTCTCCATGTGTCCCTGTCAGTTTTTGATCCCCTCCTTCCTTTCTGGTATCATGAGCATCAGCCAGGCTCACCCTGTAAACCTTAAGTCAGCCATTTCCCCTGAAGCCCTGGCTCCCAGCAGCAGCCAATAATGTTTGGAGCCCAAGATCTGGGCAGTACTGGGCTATCACTACCTTTAAGTCCTTTTGGCAAAAGAAGCTAGGAAGATATAACTAAGAAGCAAAGCAGGCTGTGGTGGTCACACCTTTAATCCCAGTACTTGGGAGGCAGAGGCAGGCAGATCTTTGTGAGTTTCAGACCAGCCTGGTCTACATAGTGAGTTCCAGGCCAATCAGGGCTACATAGTGAGACCCTGTCTCAAAAACTAACAACCAAAAAATTCTTTGCCCATATAACTGTGAAGGGCAAACTTTCCCCAAAACCTGGTGACTTACACTTATAATCCCAGCACTTTGGAGGCTGAAACAGGAGAATTGCTACATATTTGAAGCCAACCTAAGCTATTAGGGTAAGACTCTGTCTTAAACAAACAACATTCTAAGCAGAACCCGCGACTGTCCTCATGTTTTTCAGGATGATCTGTTTCTGGGAAAACTGAAGGCCAGTTGTTGCACTATTTGAACAGGTTCAAATATTAGTTGAACTGGCTCTTTGTTTCTCTTCAGTGTGATTATGTTATTTATATGCAATAGAAGCCAGTTCCTTAGCTTCTGTTCACATCAACTTTTTGTTTGTTTGTTGTGTTTGTTTGAGACAGGGTCTCCCTCTAGCCCTTGCTGGCCTGGAATGCACTATGTAGACCAGGCTGGCATCAATCTCACAGAGATCCACCTGCCTCTGCCTCCTGAGTGCTAGGACGAAAGACATGCGCCACCAAGCCCCAGCCTGTTCACACTTACTTTTAGGGAGTACTCTTCATCCTTGTTAATCTGTAGTCTTCAGGATGTAGAACATTAACATCACTCTGAAAAATCCAAACTATACAAAGTGTGCTCACAAGAGCCCTCCTGGATTGGCAAGATGGCTCAGTGGGTAAAGGTGCTTGCCAGGTAAGCCTGGTGACCTGAGTTGATCCCCAGAGCCAATATAAAGATGAAAGAAGAGAACCAACTCCACAAAGTTGTCCTCTGGCCTCCACACATGTGCCATGGCACCTGCACACAACCTCACAATAATAAAACAGAAGAGCCTCCCATTCCCACTCACCTGCTGGAGTGAGCCCGTTCCATTCAGTTTTGGTTCATCCTTCTTATATTCTCTTGAAGGTTTTACATAGGCGCATACATGCTCACTACAAAGAGTTCTAATTTTTAGTTTAGTTTAATGATTTGAGAAGGAGCATGCACCCTCAAACCACCAGTTCCCATCCCCGGAGAAAAGACCCTCTACAGACCTTTTCTCATTTGCAGCTCCCAAGGACCCTGCTGGGGTCTCCCTAGACTGTGAAGGCCCATGAGGCTGCCTCAGAATGGCAGGTCTGACTGGGCAGGGAGAAGAGGAAGAAGAAATTGGCCTGTCCCCATCCTCTGAACCAAAACTTCAAAAATCCAAACTTACTTCATAGAGCCCACATCCAAGCTGTGAGCAGGAGGGGGTGTTTGTGGAGGCAGGTGAGCAGGGCTCCAGCTGTGTGACCTGAAACACATTCGTCCCCTCCCTGGACCTGTCTTCTCAACTGAATAAAGGAAAAACACACCAGGAGGTTCAAGCCTGGTTTCTAGATCTGAAGTGATACTGACTTTGCTCCTGTGATGGCCTTGGAGGCACAGGTCCAAGCAAGAGACAGACAAGAGCCCTGCTCTTACATCCTAGTAAAACAGGCTCCCAACAGACATATACACAAACATGAGATAGACTATCAGGTAAGGAAAGTGCCCACAAGAGCACTAGAGCATGGTTAAAGGACTAACTTGACAGGAAGCTGGGATGTTTTTAGAAAAGATGGTCAGGGCTGGAGAAATGGCTCAGCAGTTAAGCTCACTAACTGCTCTTGCAGAAGATGGGTTCATATTCCAGCACCCATGGTAGCTGACACCTGTCCTTAACTCCAGTTCCAGGGGATAGGATCCTCCACAGGCATTGCACTCGTGTGGTACACTTATATACATGCAGGCAAAACACTCAATTACATTAAATAAAAACAAATAAAAATGTTTTTTAATTTTAAAAAAAGATGATCAAGGAAAGCCTCTCTCTCTTGCTCTTGTTCTCGCTCTTGCTCTCGCTCTGATAGAAATCTGAAGTAAATGACAAGACAAAAAGTAAGTATAGTAGTACATGCCTGCAATCCCAGTATTCAGGAGGAACAGGTAAAAGGGTTAGAAGTTCAAAGTCATCCTTAGCTACATAGCAAGTTTGGGACCAGCCTGGGCTTCATTAGACCCTGTCTCAAAAAAGACAGAGCAAGTCATGGGCAGATCTGAGGGAAGGAGTTCTGGCAAAGGGAACAGCAATGCAATGATCCTGGAAAACACTTTGCTGGTAAGGGGAGAAAACAGCAAGATGATTGCTACACTGGAAATGTGGTGGGCAAGGAGGAGGGGAGATAAGAGGTAGGAAGTGGGAAGAAGGTAGAGCACTTTCAGCACAGAGGAGCTGAAATTGATGACGGATACTTCTTAAAGGCCAGGAGCAGGTTCATGATACCCGTACAATTTATTTTAAGAGAGATCCACCTTAGCCACTGCTAAGAGTGGACTGTAAGGTATGTGTCAGTCAAAAATCCAGCCAGTGGGCTGGAGAGATGGCTCAGCAATTAAGAGCACTGGCTGCTCTTGCAAAGGACGTAGGTTCTGTTCTCAGCATCCATATAGTGGCTGACACCTGTCTTTAACACCAGTTCCAAACGATCCAATGCCCTCTTCTGGCCTCTGCAGGCATTGCATGTGCATCAGTGCATTTATAGACATGCAGGTAAAACACTCCTACATATAAAATAAAAATAAATAAATCAGGCTGGAGAGATGGCTCAGTAGTTAAGAGCACTGGCTGCTCTTGCTGAGGAAGTAGATCCCCAGATTTGGTTCCTAGCACCCACATAGTGGCTAACCACTGTCAGTAACTCCAGTTCCAGGTAATCTGATGCTCTCTTCTGGCCTCCGTGGGCTTTGCATGACATGGATGTACTTAAAAACATTCAGGCAAAACACTCAAATAAATAAAAATAGATTTTAAAAAAATTTTAACCAGAAAACTGTTTTAAAAATCCAGTCAGTAAGACAATAATTAGACTAAATATCTCAGACAAAGGGGAATGGAATGTAAGGGAAGTACTGAAACTGTCAAACAGGAGATAAAGATGAATCATCACCATCTTAAGGCTAGAGGGACAATGGGAGGAGATAGTGTTGAAGCAGGTGCTATCCTGCAGGAACCAGAACATGGAACAGGCTGTCAGAAGGGAGCCAGGGCTCCAGAGAGAGAGGCTGTCTTCTACAGAGGGCTCCAGAGGCCCAGGGTAAGCAGAGAGTGAAAATATACTGGCTTCCTTCTTCCCACTCACCTTCTGCTGGTAATTCCACTGACTGAATATCCCCCCAAAAGAAACCTGGGCAGGGCAGGTGCCAGAAAGGTGGCAGGTGGGGAAGGAATCCAAGTGCAAATAAGAAGAAAAGCAGCTCCAGGTGCAGGAGCAGAGGCCAAGAGACCAGTTATCAGATGGATAGGAGAGCCCCAGTGGTGGCAAGGAAGGGGCAGTGGTGATGATGAGAAATGGCTGGATTTCAGAGATCCTAATAGATTGGATGTGAGTGTAAGAGAAAGGGAGTCTCCATCCTGAGGAGTTTACCAGCTTCTGCAAGGAGCCAGTGGAGTAGTCAAGAATCCTAGTTGTTTGAGACATAAGAAGTTTGAAATGCCCATTAGTCAAAGTCCCAGGGAGATGCTGAAGAGGAAATAGGAGAGTCAAGTCTGGTTCAAGGGAGAAAAAGGTGCTTCAGATACATATGCAACCCACCAATGTCAAGGTGGGGTTTTCCCATGAGGCTGGGTGGCTTTACCCGGGGCATGTGTCACGAGTTATCCCGCCTTCCCTGGGCCAACCACCTGGCAGAGCAAGGGGGTGAATGCTACGTACTGATTGACCAAGACTGAATTTTGTACCTCCTCCAGAAGGCAGAATGTGAAGACTTTATTTGCTCAAGCCGCATGTTCTGAGACTTGGGAAGGGGTAGTTTCCTAAAGAAAACTTGGGGTGCTTTTACTAGAAGAGGGTTTGTTTGCTAGCACTGAAAGTAAAAAAACAACCAAGCACCAGTTTCCTGCTAAGGCCTCACATTTACTAAGGTGAGATGCCAAGTTAACATCGGCTGAGCACCCACTCTGTGCTGTGCCCTGGAATTTTCTCAGCCTTGCTGGGAGCCCCGAGCAAGCTTAAGAGCTCCTTCTGCAGCTCTTCTGACTGGTTCCTCGGTTTCCTTGCAAAAAGGGCTCTCTGGCTTGACTACCCCCTACTTCCCACTCCTGAGCAAGGCAGAGCAGGGTCTCTAACCTCAGCTTAAACTCCCAGGCTGCACCCTCAGACACTTCTACAGCGGAGCCTCCAGTCTCCAGCTGGCAGCTGCTAGGACCCAGGGGGCTGGCACTGGGCCCTACCCCTCCTTTACTAGCTCTGTGTGTCTCCGAAGGGCAGCATCAGAGTGACAGCCGGTACCATCTCCGTAGAGGCTGAGTTGCTGAAGCTGGGCTGGTGGGGCAAGGGGAGAAAGCCGAGACAGGCTCAGCCTTGCATCTACCTACAGGGCCCACGAATCCCACAAGAAGATGGCAACCTGGGCGTCGAAGTCACCTCCTGGGCAGCCTATGAGGTGAGGGGCCAGGTGATGGGAATCCTGAAAGCTGGCGGCTCCATTTCGCTCTCGGCCTAGCAGCCCCCGTGAGGCCTGAGCGCACAGACAGATGGCTAACATCACAGGGTTCAGCGCCACCGAACTCGCGGGCTCGGTGGGTTTGATCCTGGCCGTTCTCGTAGAAGTGGGAGCCCTGCTGGGCAACAGCGCGCTGCTGGTGGTGGTGCTACGCACGCCAGGACTGCAAGATGCGTTCTACCTGGCGCACTTGTGCGTCGTGGACCTGCTGGCGGCCGCCTCCATCATGCCTCTGGGCCTGCTGGCTGCACCGCCGCCTGGACTGGGCCGCGTGCGCCTGGACCCCGCATCATGCCGCGCCGCACGCTTCCTCTCGGCAGCGCTGCTCCCGGCCTGCACCCTTGGCGTGGCCGCGCTCGGCATGGCGCGCTACCGCCTCATTGTGCACCCGCTGCGGCCAGGCGCGCGACCCGCGCCGGCGCTCGTGCTCACCGTGGTGTGGGCTGCGGCCGCGCTGCTCGGCGCGCTCTCCTTGCTCGGGCCGCCGCCTGCGCCGCCCCCGGCCCCGGCTCGCTGCTCTGTCCTGGCCGGGGGGCTCGGACCCTTCCGGCCGCTCTGGGCGCTGCTGGCTTTCGCGCTGCCCGCCCTCCTGCTGCTCGGCGCCTACGGGAGCATCTTCCTGGTGGCGCGTCGCGCAGCCCTGCGGCCCCCGCGCGGGACCCGGCTCCGTTCTGACTCTCTGGACAGCCGCCTCTCCTTCTTGCCACCCCTCCGACCTCATCTGCCCGGGGGCAAGGCGGCCCTGGCCCCGGCCCTGGCCATAGGCCAGTTTGCAGCCTGCTGGCTGCCTTATGGCTGCGCGTGCCTGGCGCCCGCGGCGCGCGCTGCAGCTGCCGAGGCGGCTGTCACCTGGGTAGCCTACTCCGCCTTCGCAGCTCACCCCTTCCTGTACGGCCTGCTGCAGCGCCCCGTACGCTTGGCGCTGGGCCGCCTCACCCGCCGAGCGCTCCCTCGGCCCCCGAAAGCCTGCACGTCGCAGGCCTGGCGCCCGCGGGCACTCCTCCAGCGCCTCCAGAGACCCCCCAAGGACCCTGCCCTAGATCCTTCTCAGGCACCAGAAAAGCCCCTAGAACTGGCAGGACAGAGCCCGAGTGTGTCAGATGCCACCTGAGAGCTTTCTGAGCTGGAGAAAGGAGGGTGGGATCAGAGGGGACCCATCGGTGCACTGGTCGAGGTAGGTACCCTGCCTCTGTTGGCTCTGGAACAAAAGAGAGGGTGTTATCCAGCCGGGTGAGGATCAGAGGTTTCTCAGGAACCCCAAATTCTAGGCCCAACACTATCTGTGTGGCCTTGTACACAATCCTACCCTTTCTGAGGCCTAAGATTTCCCATCTACATCCTGCACTGTCTCTTAACGGACCCCTACCCCACCCCAGTGCAGATTTTTTGAAACTCATGGGTAGTTCCTGGCCCTGTGAGGAGAAAGCAGGCATGATCACAGAGAAGAGGGTCCTAAGGGCTCACAGCCAAACGATAAGCCAAGCTGGATAGGGACGGGTTACAGCCACAGCAAGAGGAACCAGTGGAGAAATAGTCAGATGTCCCTGACATCTGCACCCGGGAGAAGCCAGACAGTTCTACTGAAACTCTATCTGCTCAGAAGACAACCGGATCAATTTGGTTCTAGAAGAAGGCGACTGGACACATGACCCCCACAAAGGATCCCAGGGTTTCACCCCAGAACTGGCATGTGGAAGGGGCTGTAGCTCAACTGGGGCTGGTGGATTCACAGATTGGGGTTCTCCACGGGGCTTTGGCTGCACCCATTCTCTGGAAGTTTTGCCACCCCAACATCAGTGTATTTCACAGCTTTCTGGTCACTGAGAATATTTATTCAAAAACAGGGATTGAAAAAACTGTACAGAGTGTCTGCTGCTGAGAACTGGGCCCCTGCCCCCAGGCCACTCCCCCAACTACTGGCAGAGCCCCCTCTTTGGGCTGCCCCCTGACAAGCCCAGCCAGTCCATTCCAGTCACAGGGTGTCAGTGAAAGCAGCAGGATCTGCAGGGGATGAAGACAAGCTTGGCCCCAGCCACCCCTTGTCCTCCAATTCCCACTGGGGCAGTAGACTGAAAGCCCTAAGGGATGGAGAGCACATGAGTGGCCTCCCATGGCAGGGCACTAGGGTGGTGCCAGCCATTCCCTGCATCCAAGCACAGGTCTGAAGGGATGGAGTCCCTGCCCTGGGGCTGCCACAGCTCCCAGAACACTGAGTCAGAAACTGCCCCCTCTCTGAGGAGGAACTCCAAAGACAGGCAGGGTGAAGGGTGCATCCATGCGTCTGGGGTTACTGGCACTTGGGACCCCAGGGTGGAGTCTCCTTGGGCAAGAAGGATGCACAGGCAGCCCCTGCCGGTGGTCCCGCCTACCCCAGCCTGTGCCTTAGCCGGCCTCAGTAGGGGGAGAATTTCTGCCGCTCAGCTTTCTTGCTCCCATTGGCCGCTGCCATCTTGGCAGTGTAGGCCGCCAAACCCGGCGGTGGCCCTGGGGAAGCAGGTGGTAGAGCCAAGAAGGGCACAGGCTTGAGGCCGATGAAGTTGGAGAGGGAGATGGCATAAGGTGTGCCCAGCAGGCCTGGGGGAGCTGTGGGCAGAGCTGTCAGGGGTGGCGAGAAGGGGGTGGGCAGATCTGCGGGGGCTGAGCCAGGTGTCCCCCCGGAGGTAGACTTGGCCGTCTCTAGACTGGAGAGGGGGATACAGAGGGAAGATGAAGGGAAAGGTGGGGGTGAGACAAGGGCCGTGAGGTTTGCCAAAAGATAGAGGAATCAGTCAGAGAACAGTGGCATGGGGTGGGTGTGTTTGGGGGAAGCATGGGAAAGGTACAAGGGTAGGAAGGGCAGAAGGACAAGTCCTATATGGGATAAGACAAGAAATGAGAGAGAAGACCCAAGACAAAGAGATGATAGTGGGGAGGCAGGACATGAGGGACAGGAAACATCGGTGACTTAGGTAGAATACCATGGGAAAGGACAGGGGCTGAGGAGGGTCAAAGGACTTGTCCAGAGAGACAGAAGGTCATCACTTCCCTCCACCCCATGATCTCCTACCACCCACCCCATGCTTACCAGGCAGTGATGAGGTACTGGGCCAGGGCAATGGAGACCGGTGAGCCAGTGATGGTCACATGCCGCTCCCCAGCACCCTCCGCTTGGTTCCCGATCTTGATATGTGCCCCTGACATCTGCCGGATCTCACTGATCTTGCTGCCCTGGCGCCCAATCACGCAGCCAATCAGCTAGAGAGAAGGCAGAATTTAACCCTGGATAAGGCCTTAGACCCCTGGATCCCCTCTCTACCCTCCAGCAGCCCCCTACCCTCTGCTCACATCATTGGGAACCAGGAACTCCTGGGAGCTGGTCTGTGTGCTAGGATCCAGTCCTGAGGCAGAGGAAAGAACTCAGTATAGTTCCGGGTTTCTGTGGACCACCCCCATGTCTGGAGCTGCAGGGTACTACCCAGCTCCTGCCTGCCTCCTCCAGTAGGAACTGCTTACCTGGTACCACACTGGGTGAGGCAAAGGGAACTGCATGGCCTGAGAGCTGCTGGAGCTTAGTGACCTGTGCCAAAGAAGCAGGATCAGAGGTCAGAGGGGGCAGTTCAGGAAGGGGTGTCTCAGGCTGTGGGTCACTCACCTCAGCAGGGGTCACTGCTCCATACTGACCCTGGACAGAAAAACCCTGTGGGGACAAAATAGGTGAAAGGGGGTTGCTGTGATAGGTCAGGACAGTTTACCCAGGTCACCCCTGCCCCCTCCTCAGACTCCGCAATTCTTTCTTTCATCCCCTCCCCCCATTTGGTCCCCCTTCTGCAGTATGGCTTCCAGCCCCTCCTGCTGTTCCCTCACCTGGTTGGCGGAGAGAAGGACAGTACCTAGGGAGAGGCTTGGATGATATGGGATAGTGGCTCCTTTAGGTGGGGACTGAAAGGCACAAATTTTAGAGGCTTTGTCAGGATTCTCTCTCAGGTCCCACTAACCTCAAGAGCCCAATGGCCTTAAGGCATCCCCATGACTCCCAGGAAATACATCCCAGAGTGCCCTAAAGTTGATATGCAGTCTTGGCCTTAGCAGGGCCTGCCTCATGCCCCCTGGTGTTACAGCCCTGACAAACATCTGGGGCCCTCTCCTGCCCCCTCTCCTATCCCAGGCTGTACCTCCAGGATGACAGCACAGATCTGGCGCACACACAAGATGATGGCATCAGGTACCCCAGAAACAGTGACAGCACGCTCTGTGGAATTAGGGAGCAGGTCCCCTGCCACCTGCACCTGGGCTCCTGTAGTCTACAAACAGAAAACAGTAACTACTTCTGGCCATTCCAATAGCCAAGAGAAGGGCTGCGAGGCTAAGAGCTCCCTGGGACGTCTTGAAGCCATAAGCCTAGGTGGGAGCTCCCTGTGGATGTTATCCCTCTCCCCTCACCTCTCGGATCTCCTTGATTTTGGTGCCGGCCTTCCCAATCAGTGAGCCACACTGGCTGGCAGGGATGACAAGGCGCAGGGTCACTGGAGGCCTGGAGACACTGCCACCATTCGCAGGAGCAGCACAAAGGTCCTGGGGTAGGGAGACAGTGAGTTGGCCATGCATGCCCCTGCTACACCCCCACCCTTCCTCAAGCACTGTTTTACAGAGAAATGAGGGTGCCTCCTCCCCAGACCTGTTCCTAGGGAATATGCCCTGGATTGACCACCTCTCCCCACTAGCCACTATCTGGAGACTGCGTCACATTCCTCCCAAGCAGCCACTGTCAGACTCCCACCCCAGCCAGCCACGAACCTCATCTAGCTTGAAGGCAATCATGGAGACTGCATGGAAGACAGCTGCAGTAGACCCAGTGATGGTGGTAATGCGCTCAGGGCAGGAGCCTTCAGAGATGGTGATCCGGGCACTGCTCTGTGGGTGCAGGACAAGCAGTGGGCAGCAGGGCATCTTCCCCACTCTGATGCCAGGGATCTATTTGTCTGCCTGCCCCACTCAGTAGGCCCCAGCTAAGACTAGAAACTGCCACTCTTGGGTACCATTGATCATTGAGGGTGGAGTGGTTCAGAGAGAAGCCTGGTCAACTCCCCTCCCCTCCATATCAGAGCCCTGGGCTCCTCCCCTGAACTCATCCTTACCTGCTCCCGGATTCGCTTTACAGTTTCTCCCTTCTGTGGGAAACAAAACCAAGAATCACTCATACCCCAAATGGTTGCCTCTTAGCCAGGACTAAGGCTCAGGTTGAGGGGAACATATAGAGCAGAAATGGGCACCTACCTTCCCAATGATGCTGCCCACCTCCTGCAAAGACAAGAGTAGACTCAGATGGCTACGAATGCCCCAGGCCCAGCTCCTCTTGTCACCCAGGCAGGGGCCCCAGAGAAGCAGCAAAGCAGACACTGGGTCACAAACCACAACAGCCCCACCCACTCACCTTCCCGTGCATCAGCATCCGCAGCGTGAGGGTGATGCTAAGCTCTTGCTCTTCCTCCAGCCCCGCATCTGAACTGCTCATCCTGTCAGGCGGGGCTGGGGCCACAGAGGCCTGGGAGTGTGTCCACACTGTGGCCTGGCTGGCTCTAGCAAGGGGCAGCAGAAAAAGGGTCACAGAGGATCCCTGTTCACCCTGCCCTTGCCCTTTCCAGAGGGACCCCAGAGCCAGGCCAGCCAAACTCCCAAAGAAGAGAAACAGCATGGACCTCGAGTTCCAAATGTCCTTCTGACTGGTGTGCTTCTGTACCTCCCTGGCTATGTAACCCTGGACAGGTTATTTAACCTTCTGGGCCTTAGCCTCCTCCTCTATAAAAGAATGACCAAATCCTATGCCCAAAATGTATGGTAGTTAGAATGATAGGTACTCAGTCTCCCTGAGTAGCCATCACATCTTCCCAGATCCCAAAAGGAAGGCAGGAGCATAGGGCTCAGTGGTAAATGAATGTGTGCCTAGAATATATAAGGCCCTAGATGTGAGCTCCAGCACAGAAGGAAAAAAAAAAAACAAAGCCTGTGAGCTCAGAGGACAGCCTTCTCTCTGATTTGAAAGAAAGGATCCCTGTGCATTGGTCCTTCACGGTGGAGTTAAAGTTGAAAGTTTACTCCTGGCTGGGCACAGTACAACATGCCTGTAAACCCAGCATGCATCCAGGAGGCTAAAGCAAGATCACAAGTTTAAGACTGGCCTTGGCTACATAGTGAGACTTTGTCTCAAAAAAGGAAAAGTTTACTCCAAACAAGAGGCACCTGCTTCCAGAGGCCAGGGTCAGCTGGCTTGAGGGCAGAAGGGTGGTTGAAGAGGAAGCTGGAGCATCCA